TTCCATGACTACTACTGATGCCTCTGTCAAATATCCACTGAACAGCTGTGACAATGTCTTGTTAAGAGAGTTAATCCTCTTGCATATAACTGTTAACTAATCCTGCTGTTATAATCCAGCCAAGAATCTCTTTTCACAATATGGGTTAGCAGCAATAAAAATGCCACAGGAGTAAAAAGGTGTGCACAGATATTTTTTCTTTGCAAGTTATCCCACTTTGACCCTGGCTGTGAGTACAATCCCATTCTACACACTGCCAAGTTGTCAATACAAACACAAAGTTAGCTACTTGCTACTCACTCAATTAACTTTAGGATGTTTTCTTGTGGAAAGAGAAGGCTGTCTTTTAGGAAAATCTTTTCTAAGAATTGCAGTTTTACTGCGTTAATAAGAGTAATAGTGCCTCAATTCCACAGAAACTTAAGAGTGCAGTGTTTGAAAGTTCAATCTCAGCTTTCCCCCATTTCTTCGTCACCATAAATGATATCATAACATAAATCTTGCTGACTCTGTGAAATGGGATTGAAATAGCAAACTACACCACTGCATACGAACAAACTAATCAGTTGTTAGGGATGTTTGTAACCAAGAGTTACAAAATGGTACATTTGACTCCCTACACCTACAAGAGATAAACTGACCTTAGCACTGGAAAATGTAATGGACCCAAAATGTCTATCATGCCCACTAGGATGGTAGTGCAATTTCTCACCCAAATCACAGAGCACAGTGGAGAAAAACTAAAAGAGTACCAAAAAGGGAAAAGACAGAAAAGAAACTCTTGGACTCATAATGTTGACTTTTTTGCAATGTTCTTATTTCTCTGTTACAAGTTCCTATCTTGTTTATCACATCCAAAACTTTGTCCTGAAAATAAATCTTCCGACATACGGTAATTAGAATTTGCACTATATACATATGTACACATTAATTACAAATAAATAATTGCACACTGAACTAAGACACTTTATCAAAAGCTCCAAACTAATTCAGATCATAGAACAACATCTTCATCCGTCAGCCACACCTCTTCAATTCCTGTTTTCTAAACATAAGCACCTTATCTCTATTCTACCTTAAGCAGAATTCCATAGCACCCTAAATCAAAGGAAAAAAGCCTCTAAAAGAGGCTAACCAATGTAATTTGATTATTTAATCCTTGAATAGTACACCATGACTTCTTGCTACCAGCACTTAGCTATACAGTTAAGTTTACCTTGTATAACTATATGAGGCAATGCCTTGAGGTCTACTTGGAAAGGATTGGAAAAAGACGTTATCATCCTATTTCCTGCGCGAAGATCAGAATTTCAAACAAGTGTCTCTAACTAGCATTATTTCATTCACATTACTTGAAGCTCTTCTGTTGGAGTTAAGGATTTTCACTACACAGACTGCACACAAACATTTTTAGTCAATTACTTCCATCCCAATAGCAGCTATAGAACATGTCTCCAATAAAAACTATAACCCCCCCATTTAACTTGACCCAGATATGTTTTTCATACTCTTCCATGGGTTAAGTTGTGTCAAACTATAAAAATGCTAACCCAACTTGCTGTTCAGTGGACCTTATTCCATTATGGATGAGAAGTAACAATTTCTTAAATTCTTCCTTAATCCTGAGCTCTTGCAAATACACTTTTTTTTTACTTCAAAAATAACACTTGTTTTTGCAATACAGTAATATAGTTTAAGAATAAAAGGAAGAATTTATTTACACCTCCCAAGCAAGTTTACACCATTTAGCTGGTGAAGTAGGATGAAAGTAAATGAAACCAAAGTCACACACACACACACACACACACACACACACACACACACACACACGCACACAGAACTGCAATTAACAAAAGACACCAACTCTTGACCTTCTGAATATCAGAAAGGCAGAAATACTTGATGTTTAAGTTAATGGAACTAACAGATTCACCAGGACAATTTGCTTGCAGAAGACTTTTTAAACTCACATTTAAGTCTACTGGGAAAACTTGCCACAACATAATTCCAAATTAGTTATATGTAGTCAGCTACTGTTATCAAGGGAAAGGCAAGAAATATATGTAAAAAAAAATTACCTGTCCCCTTCCAAAACAGCACAGAAAAAAATCTAATTTAGATATAGTTCTCACATGTACCTTTGCAAATAATGCTGCCATGGTGACAAATTTTGTGTTCATTAAATCTCTGTTGGATTATTTTAATATAATCAAACATTGAGTGTGACTGATTCTAACTGTACTTTTCATGCTGCTAAGTGACTTGGGTGAGCAAACTTAGTTTTGGTTCCATGTTTAGTCTTACACAATTCTAATTATCACTGTTTCCACTATCCCTAGTACCAAGCTAATTAACACCATGAAAACATTCTACAAAACCATCAAGTGTTTGAAACAAAGTTTAGGGATAACTATATTAAATGAGTTTCTTCTGTACATGGTACTCTTTATGTACAGAAGAAATACTATTGCTAGAGGAATGCATGGAAACTTTGTTTCAACGACTTATTTGCTAATGTTTGTTTTTCCTGTATTTAAGTATAGAAGTTTTGCCTGCACAATTGGAGTAGCTACACAATTAAAGAAGTTGTTTAGAAATTCTCTCAAAGATAGCTCCAAACTTTTAAGATGTATAAAACTGTTGCATGTTTCCTACCAGGAATTTTGGTGAAACTAGTCATCGTCTTCTTCCTGTTGCTGGAATTCAGCCACATAAAGTTTCTTGTCAACTTTTTTGGGAAATGGTATTATGTTAGTGCCAAGCTCCTGTTCAATCTTGAACAAATCAAACCTATCCTCATAAGTGACAAGGTTTATGGCAAGACCAAGGTGTCCAAAACGACCTGAACGGCCAATGCGATGCAGATAGGTCTCGGAGTTTTTGGGAAAGTCAAAGTTTATTACCACATTGACAGACTGAACATCAATCCCACGTGTGAACAAATCTACACAAGGAAATGAAGATTATTTAACAGAATGATCTCTACCTAAAATCAGTGCACCTATAAATGGGTTGGTGGGTCTGTATCATGCACCCAGAAATCATTTACTAATTAGAACTTGTCAATTAAACTGTAGGTCACCCTTAATGGGACTTTGCTTCTGATACCTTTTCATCTATCCAACAGCAATAAAAAAGATCCCCTTCAAATAGTGACATGTGACAATGAATCTACTGATTTGTGAGGCTTCAAGCCCGTAGTCAAACCACTTACCTGTGTTGTTACCTTTTAATGAACATTCACATTTTTTTGAAAAGATGTTGTAGTTCAATTTTATACTTGGTTCAAAGTTTATTTTCCTTTGTTCTCGGTCATGTTAATATGTGATAATGAGTTTGAAACAAAGGAAAATAAAATTTGAACCAAGGATAAAACTGAACCACAACAAAGATTTCTTGTTCTAGTGTTGGGAGACCTGTGTCTCCCATAAGGCATACCGGGCTCTGAGAAAACACAAGGAGAAATGAGTCAAAATGTTTTCTTGTTGTAGTTTTCATTAGCTTGATGGACTGCAGATTCCCTAAAGCTCCTACATAATCAAATAGTGCAAGTGATCTCGACTGCTTGGAGTTAATAAATAAATTGTGGATTTGTGACTACAACCTGATGACACTAGAGTCCTTGTCTCTCCTTGGCGGAAGTCATGGAACACCTTGTTGCGGTGACTCTGATCCATTCTTGCATGAATATAGTAACAGGAATACTTGAGCTCTGTTATCTTTTTGGCCAACAATTCAACACGTTGGACTGAGTTGCAAAAGATTATGGACTGGTTCACTTGAAGCTAGAAAGAAAAAAATTGAAATGTTAAAATTGAAATAACACAGTAAAATAAGACCTGTCCAGTAGCTGGTGTTTCAGCTGCCCTGACTTCTGAAGGACACTGTACACCATGTTGTTTACGCTCTTAACCTTCTCTTCTACCCCTCCTTGAATGAAGTGACTCTCCTTAGAATTTATTGTTTAAGTCCTGGGATTTAATGATTGCTTTGGTGATCAAGTGTCCACATTTCTTTAGTTGCACAATTGCTATAAAAAAACAAATTGAAAGTTTTTTTTTGAGACCGCCAGGTCAATACTTTCTTTTTCGAATATCTTGTTTAATGGAAAATGAAACTTCTACAAATTAGACAAGTGAAACTTAAACAGATTGACCAAGGAAATGTACCTTAGAAAACAAAGTATTCAGGCAATGTACTTTCTGTTTCTCCTCCAGGAAAACATAATACTGAAACAATAAAAAATAGCCATAATAATTAAAGGGAATTAATTTACTTTAATCCTGTTCATAAGAAAACATTTTAGAAAATGCATGGAGTACAGTTTTAATTATTGAATAGCAGCTGATGTTAACCTAAGTCAACCTTGCACACAGATCACACACTGTTATGGAAAAATTGGATATCTGAACAAATTGATAAATATTTCAGTAACTTGCTTGGTTGCCAGACTGGAAAATTGGTCAACTACTGTGCCATTAATTTTTTTCATTGGGATTGACTTCAAACAAAGCAACCCTATTCCTTGACACATCAACAGTACATACAGTGTCACAAAAGTTTGAGGGTGATATGTATCAGTCTAACATCACAATGAAAATGTTACATACAATTTTAAAAATTATATGTACAGGGAAAAGAGAAAAAGAATTTCATCTATATATAATGATTACCTGTGTAATGCCTTTCAAGGTCAGTTCATCCATAAGGTTAATTTCATAGGCTTTATCCAAATGTTTATCCTGCCCAATTAAATCACAACAAAATACACTGCAATTACCAAAAAGCTACTGTTGCGAGTAAGAAAGGATTTGAACCCTTTTTCAGACACAAATTTCAAGGAGTCTTCCAGGACTTTTTCAGGCTCAGATTGATTTTTCCAGTACTCCAAGTTTCACATTTAACCCTTTCAAAGCCAATTTCTGGAACTATTCAGAACCTGTAGTCTTTTTCCAGGACTGAATGTCAAATTTAAAATTCCATAGTTTTCCAGGTTTTCCAGGACCTGTACAAACCCTGGTAGGAGCAAGCCCACTTGGTTGATAAGCACATGCTCTTTGGGTCTGTCACACCCTGCTTCCATATGAACATCTGCTTAACCAAACAATTAAGAGCACCATATCATCTTACTAGAAACTAAAAGCAACAGTTTTATATAGGCGGCATAATAAAGAAATAAGTAAAACCAGTTAGGAAACATGTCTTGTCAAAGACAAGTGATTCGCATGACAGATACTATACACATAAAGCTGTAAATGTTCTCCAGTCAAGTTGGTAATTTTCTGCACTTTGATTTCTCATTTAAGAAAGTAGTTCTGTAGTCTCAAAGAATCCTCCATTAGCTATGCCATTCTATTAACAATAGCATTTAATTGCTAAAAGCTCAACAATATTCAACACTGTCCAAGGATTCTGTACAACACAGAGTCCTGAATACATATTAAGTTAAATACCACACAGAGCAGTATCATTCTTTGAAAAAATAATTTAGAAGAAAGGATGGTAGTGAGAAAAATCTAAATATAGAAATTCATTATTTTCAATCATGTACTGCCATTGACCTTAAATTCCTTTACTGAAAATGGAAAAGTGGCTGAATAAAGAAGAATCTGCCTGCTGGGTGGAAGGAAAGCAATTATGTCTTCTAAAATCCCTTTGAAGTCCATAGATAGCAGCTTGTCAGCCTAACAAGAGAAGACAAACAATAAAAAAATACGTAAAAAAAAATGGTTTATGGTATAACAGTCCTTTATGACAAAATTACATTCCAAGCACTTACCTCATCCATAACAAGCATTTGACAATTCTCCATCTTGGCCACCCCTTTTCTCATTAAGTCCAGTATCCGACCTGGTGTGGCAACAATGAGATGAACTGTGGGAAAAAACCCCAACACACCATTATGAAGTTGAACACAGAGTTCCCACTAGTTTTGATAGTTAAGGGTCCTTGGGACCCCCAGTTCCAAAAAGTTGGGAGTCCTTTTAGCTTTTTAGGCGTCCCCTGCCTTTTACTAAAATTTGATTTTATAGTTTCTAACAGAGAGGCAAAAGCCAAGACCAGGTGTTAATGCAATTAATGCAGCTGTAATTTTGGAATGAAGTGTGCTCACACTTCTTAACACCAACCATTTGTTTTTTGGTTGAATCATATTTTAACCATGAAATTCTTCCAACCATTTAGGACAAAATTTACATTTCTTCACTTGGGCATCATCCCCCAGATCTGTAGCACTTTCACGTTTCCTCTTTCAAAATATAAATATATTAAATAAAGCCTTCTAAGTAGACATGCCCTTGACCATGACAAAATGGCAGGTCAAAGGACATGCCATCATTATCACAATGATTCTTGGGTAGGGCCCACCAGACCCAGTCTACTAGCTAGTTGAAACTTTTTTCCTGCATCCTGAGATGCACACTGGGAAAAACTGTGTGTCATTTTCATTTTTTGTGCATACAAGACGCATACATGTGTGTTAACAGGAACTCTGTCCAGAACATTGTCGCTATTAAGAAAAAAAACATTGCTTTCTTGTGTGCTTGAGGGTGCAAATTTTAGCTTTCCTTTCATTTTTTCCATCTTATGCTTCTTGTGCAAGCTTGCATTAAATACGATGACTAATATTTTCAAAATTGGCTTGTCTGTTGTTTGATTTTCTGTGCATTTACATATTAAATGGTTAAGAGTGGAAAATTATATGACTTTTGGAGCATAAGCTTCTGTTAATTTCAATGCTACACTGCTATGTAAGTGGAAACTAGTACCAAAGATAAGAATAAACAGCTCCTTGTCTGAGACTATCCTAGAGCAGAACAGTAGACAAGAAACATCTCTTCACCATATCTGGAGCATTTAATTATGTACATACCATCATTATATAGTCTCATTATGTCATCTTTAAGACTTGTGCCTCCTGTAGTAGCCATGACTTGCACTCCAAGGTGTTTACCTAGCTCTTTACAGATCTGAGACGTTTGTAGAGCCAGTTCACGAGTTGGCACCAACACAAGCCCTAAATAAAAGGAGAAAAAAAAATGAAACAAGTGGGTGGGTCAGTGAAAGATTTGTCAATACTAACAGGCTCTTTTGCCTATCATCATTTTGTTGCCTGACCCCAACAGTTTCTGTATTCCACTATTTTACCTATTTTTATTAGCAAAAAGCATTCCACAAGCTGCAGAAGTTAAGGGTGGTAGAGTAAAAAAGTACTCTTAGTATAAACCTTAATCTTTAATAATATCAAAACAGTGTAACCAACCTTGAATATGTGATTTATCCACATCACACTTTTCTAGAAGAGGTATCAGGTAGGCAGCAGTTTTCCCAGTACCATTTTTAGCCCTGGCCAATATGTGTTTTCCTGCAAGAGCCATAGGGATGCTCTCTTCTTGAATAGGTGAAGGCTTTTCAAAACCTTTCTCAAAAATTCCCATGAGTAATTCTCTTTTGAGCATGTAGTCTTCAAAATCGTTTCCTTTAGTTGCTGTTACATCCTATTTCAGTCAGATCATAATATTAGAACTGCAGTGGTCTGTATGACTGTCTGGATAGTGTGAAAGTTAACACTGGTGTACTCTCTGGGAATGTAATAACCCAATGTAGTCATGCACTTTCTGCTCAATGTTTTCAACACTGATATCAGTAATATGAGCTAACTGGGCGTGTTCAAGCACATGATACATGGGGTTAATGCCAATCCATTCCAGGCAAATCACCATCTACCAATTGCCTCCTGTGCAGAATATTCTTCAACCAAAATAACACACAAGGACTGGGATAGTGCAACCACTATGGGAAGGTGCTTTCATTAACTCCTATTGCTTCTTACTGTAGTACAGATATAACCTTTGAGGAGTTATAGACATAGAAGCCATGATAGGTGGCAAGAAAACTCTGGAAGTTTGAATTATAAGCCAGGAACTCAACTCAGTGTGACTAAACAAAAGCAATTTATTTAAAAGCCATGGAATTATAGAAATAACAAGGCAGTCCTAACATTGATACCTGTTTAAAGCTCAGTTGAATTTAAAACAGTCCCCTTTCACACGAGACGCTAAAACATTGGGTGGCGATTATGAGGAGACCCACACCACAACTTCAGTGAATGACTAAATGATTGAATCATCCATAGTGACTTCCTTATACGCGAGGAAAGCTTGACGTTATACGAAAATCAAAAGCTTAAAGCAAAAGCTACAAACAGAACGCCGTTAACATGAATTTTCTGAATCTACTAATACAGTCATAAAGAAACAAATAAGAACAAAGTTAGCTCAAATAATATACAATCTGGTAAAACTTACTGTGGTTTGTATGCGCTTGTCCTTCGCTGGAGTTTTCAATTTAGATTTCCATGACTCAAGTCCCTCCCTAATACCCAAAAAATCAAGATAAACAGAATTAGACGGCAAGTTTCTGAAATAAATTAGTTTAAAATTGAGCAACTTACTTGCTTGTATTTCGCATAGCGGACGGCACTGCTTCCGTTTTGGTAGCTGCCATTGCTGACGGTACGATAAAGTTGAAAAAAATGTCTTCCCTTGGCCGATTTTGTAAAAAATAGTCGGCTTTCAGTGTAAATGTATCTGTATTTTATAATTCTGTGTATGTAATATAAGAAAACTCGAAACAATGGTTAAGATGAACAAAGATTCCTTTCGCAGGTCCGATCACCGCAATTCTCCGGATCCTTTCGCTTTTCAAAATTATCGATTTGAAGCTGTACCAGTCTCTCAGACCTCGGTTCATGTTTGACTCTCCCTACCCGTGTAGGTTCCTCTCCGCAGAACCCTGTGGGGGACCCAACAGAAGGATATTAACTCAGTATTTTCTTTCCAGGCCCCCATTCTTCTTGCAGCAGCAACTACAACAGCACTTCCTGATCGGAATCAGATGATGAAAATTTTCAAGAGAAATTAGACTTTGAAGTGGCCAACTAACTTGCCGCAAATAGACAGCTTGGAAAACGTCAGTGTGATTCACTGGCTTGGGCTTAGGACCTTTTACCTAGAATGTGTGACCTTTCAAAATAAGGCAGATGTTTTTTTTTAAGGTACGGTTGAATCAACAGCTAAAATGAAAGAAGATTTCAAAGTCAGTTATTGGTTGTCTTAGTTCGGATCAGCTGTGACACAACCCTACGTGATCTCCGGCCCCGACAGCCTTCACAATAGTCACGTGACTTAGCCGAAGTCGTTCTGTGTGTTCTTGTTTTTTTGCGATAGGTGTACGCTGTCGAATCCTTTGGTTTCACTGGAAACAATTTTCTATTTTTTTGCCCTGATCTTCTCATAGAAGGTAAGCAGCCTTATTTTTCTTCTATTGACAAAGCTAAAAGAGAAATATTCAATCCTCAAAATACGGAAAACAAAGTTACCCAAGACACTAGCTGCAAAACATGTGTCGACAATGAAGTTTACATCCATGTTTGATATCTGATTTTTCAATTCACTTAAAGTTTTTTCTTTGCGGCGTTGAACTAGATGTACACTAGGATGATATTGGCGTGGCAAGTTCGATGTTCAAATTTGATAGCTCCTTTTAGCTCCACAGCTCAATAATTTCTAATTGACCTGGCGAGAACATGTTCGCGTGAATATCACCACAGCTGACATAAATGAGCTTAACATGCAGTTTCTTCGTTCCCGATTTCTTCTTTAACAAAGCTTGTTTGCGAGCCCCAAAACATGCCTTTTAAATATGGAGGTGTGTTCAGCTGCAAAAGGGAAGTGTTCGTAAGACCTCTGCATCATCCTTTGCCAAATCAAATTAGGACTATACTTAAATCGTTTCTTTCACAACTGCTCGCGTGTTTCTTAAGCTCAGAGAAAGCCAGGTAATTTCACATCGCAGATTGTCGATAATTATCTTCTCAAAAAGAGAGCTTATATTTCACCTTCACGAAATCTAGATATTCTGACTTTTTGCGAAATAATTGAATGGATGTTTTCTTTTATTATTATTATTTTTTTGAATTCGCACGTCTAAATGAATTCATATTGGGTACGCTTTAGATGAATTCCAATATCAGTTGTGAAATGTGTGCTATCATCATCGCTCGGGTCAGTTTCGAGGACAGCGCTCGCCTACAATTTCGATGTTTTAATTTTTTTTCAGCCCGTATCGGAAGAAAGAGTGTATAATTGTTATGTTCGTGATTCTGGGACAGGGGCAGTGCGTGACTGATTATTTTTATGTCTCGCTCAAACACCACTTACCTGGGTTACTATTGATAAATAATTAGTTTAAGAGCGTATCACGGGCACTTGCAAATTAACACGAGGGCAAGGTGTGAAATACAACTCTGTTTTTAATATTTTCATGAAAATTGTTAAGAGTTTGGTTTCTTCATCTTTCGACTAACCTACTGCCGTCTCTTTGAACACTTTTTCTCAACAGATCATTTTTTTAAATACTTTTTTTATGGTGATTTCCATGTTGAGCGAAATTTGTGACATAGTTATTGGCATTCACAACTTTGTTATCAGAACTCACTGATTTATACTGTTGCACACATTTGCAGAACATTTTCACTAAACCTTGTTTAAGAGGAACAAGTATATAAATTTACTTTAATTAAAAAACAGTCTAAGTACTTCTGTTGATTGTGAAATAATGAATTAGTTGAACCATAATTTGTACTTATCTAGTCAAGAAATTTGTAGTGAGATCTAGCCATGTAAGGCCTTGTCATTTTTATTTCAGACTTTGATAAGTGGTGAATTCTACTTTTTAAGTACTGTATAATGCTCCCAGTTTAAGGTTTTCAAAGGCACCATTCAGTGACAAAAAATATGAAAATGGTCTGTTGAGAGTAAATCTTAGTTGATGATGGTAAAAAATAAAAGAACAAAATAATAAAAAATGGACCTTTTGTGCAATAGTAGATTGGTAATTAAATGGTTGAGCATCTACCTGTCTTTGAAATCTAACACAAAGATCTGCTCATAAACTAAGAACTAGCCTTTTTTCCTTCCTTTTTTCTACTGGTTCGGTACTGTGTAACTTACTGTCATCATTTTTTCAGTGGTGTATGCTTCCGCACGATTTTCATCCAAGTCCATCTCTAATTGCATCAGGGTTTGGATATGGTGAACAAGGAAAATATCAGAAAAATGCAGCTAGTCACAAGTTGCACCCATCACCTAACTTCTCAAGACAAGTAATCAAAAGAATAATGCTGATTTATTTTGAGTAAAGGCAATTTTCAGTAGAGTGTCAAAAGTGACCTGGATTTTCTCTGGTTTTACTTTAGTGAGCTCTGTGATTGGTTTAGTTGCTCAACAAATCAGATTCAAACTAAAAGTAATCACCATTTAGTCATTTGTATTTTCTAGGGCTTCAAGCTTCAGTTTGAATATGTTTACTTTGAATTCTCCTTGTCTTGTTCTGATATTTTCTTCAGGTGTGATTGACTATTGACTATCAGTCCTTTGTGTCACCCTCATGTTCCTGCTGGTGCCAAACTAGTCTTTCTTCATTTTTCCACTCCCAAGATCTGATTATTAATTCTCCTTACTGTTGCCATGCAATTCTTATGATGTTATTCTGGAGAATTAGTATTGGATCAACAGAATACAACTCAATTGATATTTTTCTTTATTCTCATCTCTTCTTTGCTTGATATTGTATTGATATTTGAAAGAAAAATTTTGTGTTGGTCACTCATTGGACTTAAAGGGTTAAGTTCATCGATGAAGCTTTTCAAGCAGCAGTGATTCAGTAAAATGAACTGGGCAAGGAGTACTGAGAATGTCATCAGAATCATCATTAAAGGGATACAAGAGCAAGGTTGGGTTTGTTGTTTGCATAGATCATGAGTGTTTATCTCCTCTTTAATTGAACATGGAAACACACCAAGTGAATCAGGCAGGATGTATTGGTTAGTTTTTAGGTAAGGAGATGTATTTAATGTGGTGTTTGACAGTTATTGATCAAATGTGGATGGCAAGTTGTTGCAATAAAGAGGAAATTGTATTATTGGAAAGTTCTTCACAGGTGTTTTCTTTGCTTTCAGTAAAAGTTGTACAACCGAGTCAGATTTTTTAAAAGATTAAGAGCTTTAAAGCAAAATTGATTTTTTTCTAAAATGAAAAAGAAAAAGGAAAAATAAAATCAATTTTCTTGTATTAAGAGAATCTGTTTGTTTCTGACCAAATGCGCTTGACATATTTTGCATCTGAATTGCTGTATCACTTGAAACAAATGTATGTATAGTAGTCAATCATCCAATGCCTCACAATCCTTACGACCCATACAACTGATATTAATGCAACCAAAAGAAGTACATTTGATATTAAAATCTCTATTCATCTTATTAAAACAAAAAAAGAATTGAAGAATTAACACAACCCCTTGCTGTAGCAGAAATACAGTTGAGCCTCGATTAACCAGAATTGTAGGGACTGGTCTGTATAATATGAATAATGGATAGTCGGATATTCGCAAATATTACTACTGATGGACTATACTACAGCATGTGTGTCTGGCTAATTCCATTATTTTTTGAAGCTGCATTAGTTGAATAGTGTCAACATTGTTTTGTCTTTCCATGTATGTTGAACACTTCCTAAAACATTCAACGGCTTCAGAAAGCGGAACAAATTAAGTTCCAAAATGAGTTTCATTACTGTTGCTTTGCTTGTTGGAGAAAATTTGTTACTGATCTGACCTAGTTATTTTCATAAAAAGTGGGACCAGAGAAGGAAATCTAGAAAATCATGAAATTTGGATAATCAAGGTCCCAGTTATCAAGGTTTGACTACATTATTTAAAATTAGGTTTACATTTCAGAGTAAGAACCAAACCCTAAATTTTTAAAAATGTACACATGTGCTATCCTCTTTGATTGCTTTCAGTATTATTTAGGAAATAAAGTTTGACTTTTTGGGCTTCGAATTAAACAAATACCCTAGGCTTGTAGTTGAGTGCTTAAGATCCACCAGCAGAAAATAATGTTTTCATTGTACAAGATAACTTAGACATGCAGGTGTACAAACATATCATGAAATACAACTGACACTGATTTATCAGATGAATGTAGGTAAATTTGCCGCCATTAGCATCAATAAAGAAGACAGGAAATCCTTGAACCTCACCTGCAGTATTCAATAATATTTTCACATAGTATCTTGTAGTGTAGTATAATTTTATTCAAGCATTAGGTTTCCCAGAACTTTAAACTTTCTTAGAGAAACCTAACTGATATTATTAGTGATCTCTTTCAGGTTTTGTCTGATACAGTTTGCATACTGACAACCTCACACAAGTTTTGGTTCTTTCCTCGATCTAACTAAAGGCACATTACAGTTATAGAGGTCATGGTTTTTATGAGTAAGTTTCTCCTAGGGCTTAATTTGACATTGTAAAATTTCCTTCTTGTTTATGATTTTGTTTATGCAGAAACTCCTATCTCAGGCTAGCATCTTTTATTTTTCCATTATGTAAGAGAGGGAATATGAACTGAAAAATAATCTTTTTTCCAAAGGTGTTTCTTAAGGGGCCATGTGTTGATGCCTTTGTATTGAATTCTTTTGTATTATGGATGCTATAGTTTGCTTCCTGCTGAGCATTAGTTCTATGGGTTAACTCAAAACAATGTTTCTCCTTTTAAAATATATGAATTAGCCAATAGCATGTCATACTGCATTTGTTGTGGAATAACTTTCAATCCCATTGAAGCAGATAAGCACAGCAGGCTATAAAGCACTTTTCAACCACAGCTTTCTTTGAATCTTTAGCCTCAGTATGTTGAGGATAGTCTGGGTATGGATAAATAATGTATTGCAAGCAGTGACAGACTAAATTTGAAACTTTTGCGTGGATTAAGAGCAAGGCTTAAGGGTATGACTACAGGTAAATAAGAATTAAATCCCAAAAGAAAAGTAGAAGGAAGACCTTTTGGCATGCCATGGTAGGAATGTTGAATTAAAATTTTGTTTGTTTTTTTCTTAATGCATGATAGCTAAAACAGTCTTTCTTGCCCTATATTTAAAATTGTGACAGTTAAATCATATTTGATTTTCCCATCTTACAAAAAAATATTTGTATTTTCTTGTCGACAAAAACAAACTGTAGCCAATCTGAACACTTTTAAGTTGGGGCACTGTTTTGTTAAAGTAAAATGTGTATGATTTTCAAAGCAATTTCTTCAGTTATTTTACTCTAAACGCATTTGAGTTGGGATGAAAAACAGTTGAAGGAAAATGTTGCATGATGCGACCATCATCAGTTTTCATCAGTCACTTTAAAAATGTAATATTAAAATACAATTCATTTATAAGCTGAAGAAGTAAATATTAAATGCACTACACATACATGTCTAGTAGTTTTGTGGGAAAGTATGTATATATGCATATACTGATTTTAAAGGGGCTAAGTTCTTTTTTTTTGCATGATGCTATCCATAGAAAGGATTAGATTAAACTTCTATGGAATGGCCAATTTTATGACATTTTTTTAAACTCAGTTTTGATAAAACAGTTCCAGATGATGTGCTAATTAAGTAAAATTGTGGAAGTAGTTGTTTCCACGAAACTCGGGTATCTAATTGTATTTATTGTGGACCGACTTACAGCCACTATATTTTGGTGCATGTTAGGATTTTGAAATTTTGAAAACCTTGACATCATTAAGCTTTAAACATCCCAGGGACTGCAGTGTGGTATCACTGAAATAGTGATAACAGCTTTGTGAGAACAAACTTTGGACATTGTTACAATTCTTCATCCATCAGCTAAGCCTTGAATGAGTTTAATCTCTTAATGTAAATGACAACTCTTGACAATCAGAAACCATTCACGAATGATTATTTTAACAACATTAAAAAGATTGCTACTTTTGATTTCCAAATCTTATCAATCATTAGCTCAACAACGGAAGTCTTAATTAGTGATTGCCAGTTTTCACAGTCTCACCATCGTCAAAACCATTTAACAAATAAAGTCAAGAATGGCAGAATGAGATAAAAGCTGATGAATATTCAAAAAGTCTTGCAAAGATTTAGGTCTGTGAGATGTTTTGCGTGGGAGATATTTAAAGAAATGATTTACTCAAATTTATAAGGCTTTGTATGGAAACACCATGTTTGTATCCCTCTGAAGAGGCACAAATATGGTGGTCAGAAGCTTATAAAAACATGTCATTGAGTTTTGCTTTAAAAATAATTTGGATACATCAACAAAGTTGAAATGGTAAATTGGCCACCATAACAATTACAAAAGCTGACGTTTTGAGTGTTAGCCCTTCGTCGGAGCGAAGGGCTAACGCTCGGCGAAGGGCTAACGCTCAAAACGTCAGCTTTTGTAATCGTTACGGTGGCCAATTTACCATTTCAACTTTGTTGATATATCCAAATTATTTCGTTACTCCCACCGACGCAGCCCCAAACACAGTTTCTTTCGAAACTATCAGCCTTTATTCATTTGCTTTAAAAAGCCTGTAGTCGTCTTCTGAGGACTCAGAAACATCTATTTGAGCACTTATTCTCACCCAAGGACTGTTCAAACTGCAAAATCTCAGCAGATAAGTCACTTTTTCAAGCTACGTAAGGCTTTACCTGTCCTATTTACTGATTAAACTAAAATCTCATCAAGAGTGATCATTCCTGTTTTTAAATTTTTTTTTTTCGATGATGATGATCTCACATGCAAACCAAGAATAATGATGCAATGGTACATTAAAATGTGTACCCTGTCCCAAAACAATCTTGTGAGAAGATCACAGGGATGGAAAATTGAACCCTTTAACTTCAAAGAGCGACTAGCATTTAATTTCTCTTTATATCACCTCTGAATTAAACATTACAGTCACATGACAGTAAAAGAAATGCTCTCTGACTGAAGAAGCTTTTGATTGTTAAAGAAATTCTCCTTATCAGCACGTTATAAAATGTGTAGAGAACAGTATGGAGAATATGCATACTGATGTTATGGTGTAAAAGGATGAGAGACTGATGTTGATGTTTATATTTGATAGCATTGCCCTGTAATTTGTTGCTAGAAAGATTTTATCTTTTTTTGTTTCATCCATTTTGGTTTACCTTTAATCTTTCTTTACCCCCCCCCCCTTTATTTCCTTTTCTCTCATTTATTTTTTGTTTTTAAAATGACTAACTTGTCTTTTAAGTTGTTTCAAAGCATTCATCTTACCAACAGATTGTGTTGTATGCACGAGTGAACTTGTGTGCAAATGCCCTGAAATATTTTGACTAAAATGCAGAACGATCATAGGAAATCCAGCAAATAGGTCATCATAGGAATCCTGGATCCAACAAACAAATGTAACAAAGTCAGAGAATGTACTGCTAAAATATAGTGCTCATAAAACCCAAGTTTTTACAACTCAGCCTTGTCAAGATAAACGTTTTGGTTGCTTACAGAGAGAGAAGTGTGTAATATTTATACATAGCCATTTATTAAATGACTGCAGCCTAATCTGTTATAAAATTCACTTCAAATTCTTCATTTTCCTATTTAAGTGCACTTATACTGATGAAATGTGAATAACCTAGACAAAGCCTACAGCAAATTGATTTCAATTTAAGTGAAGACATGTTCTAGAAATGCAAAGGGGTCGTCTGCAAATTTTAGGCCATAAAAGTTTTTT